ATTGCATAACTTTCCACTTTTTTCCCTTAAAAAACTCTTTGGTTGCTTTTGCAGTATGCTTTGGGTCATTGTCCATCTGCACTGTGAAGCGGCGTCCAATGAGTTCTGAAGCATTTGGCTGAATATGAGCAGATAATATTGCCCGAAACACTTCAGAATTCATCCTGCTGCTTTTGTCAGCAGTCACATCATCAATAAATACAAGAGAACCAGTTCCACTGGCAGACATACATGCCCACGCCATGACACTACCACCACCATGCTTCACTGATGAGGTGGTATGCTGAGGATCATGAGCAGTTCCTTTCCTTCTCCATACTCTTCTCTTCCCATCACTCTGGTACAAGTTGATCTTGATCTCATCTGTCCATAGGATGGTGTTCCAGAACTGTGAAGGCTTTTTTAGATGTCTTTTTGCAAACTCTAATCTGGCCTTCCTGTTTTTGAGGCTCACCAATGGTTTACATCTTGTGGCGAACCCTCTGTATTCACTCTCTTGAAGTCTTCTCTTGATTGTTGACCGTGACACACATACACCTACCTCCTGGAGAGTGTTCTTGATCTGGCCAACTGTTGTGAAGGGTGTTTTCTTCACCAGGGAAAGAATTCTTCGGTCATCCACCACAGTTGTTTTCCGTGGTCTTCCGGGTCTTTTGGTGTTGCTGAGCTCACCGGTGCGTTCCTTCTTTTTAAGAATGTTCCACACAGTTGTTTTGGCCACGCCTAATGTTTTTGCTATCTCTCTGATGGGTTTGTTTTGTTTTTTTCAGCCTAATGATGGCTTGCTTCACTGATAGTGACAGCTCTTTGGATCTCATCTTGAGAGTTGACAGCAACAGATTCCAAATGCAAATAGCACACTTGAAATGAACTCTGGACCTTTTATCTGCTCATTGTAATTGGGATAATGAGGGAATGACACACACCTGGCCATGGAACAGCTGAGAAGCCAATTGTCCCATTACTTTTGGTCCCTAAACAAGTGGGAGGCACATATGCAAACTGTTGTAATTCCTACACTGTTCACCTGATTTGGATGTAAATACCCTCAAATTAAAGCTGACAGTCTGCAGTTAAAGCACATCTTGTTTGTTTCATTTCAACTCCATTGTGGTGGTGTATAGAGCCAAAAATGTTAGAATTGTGTTGATGTCCCAATATTTATGGACCTGACTGTACATGATTTGCATTCCGGGTATGCGGCACGCGCTCCCTACCCACTCCACTATTGGCTCCTCGACATTCAAATCACCAGGTCACTGATTGCTGCCATGGGTAAGTCCAGGCACACAGCAGAGGGCAGACTGGCAGGCAATGAGTTAAGTCTGGGCACACAACAGAGAGCAGTCTGGCAGGCAATGAGTTAAGTTCGGGCACACAGCAGAGGGCAGTCTGGCAGGCAATGAGTTAAGTTCGGGCACAACAGAGAGCAGTCTGGCAGGCAATGAGTTAAGTTCGGGCACACAGCAGAGGGCAGACTGGCAGGCAATGAGTTAAGTCTGGGCACACAACAGAGGGCAGGCTGGCAGGCAATGAGTTAAGTCCAGGCACACAGCAGAGGGCAGACTGGCAGGCAATGAGTTAAGTCCGGGCACACAGCAGAGGGCAGACTGGCAGGCAATGGGTAAGTCCAGGCACACAGCAGGGAGCAGGCTGCTTGGCTGTAGGGTCTGGCTGCAGCACAAGACCCCTTACAGCACCGTGGGTTATGAGCAGGGAAAGATCTCCCTGCTTGGGTTCTACTCCAGTCTTTTATCGCCGGAGCAGGACACTCCCAGGTTGCCCTGGCATCGGGTTGTCGTGGCAACAAGCCCCGCCCCCTCACTCCTGCCACACACAGGGAGCACGTCCCTTGCCTCTGGCGGGTGCAGACCGCAGGAACCTTAGGGCCACGCTGTGCCTGCCGAGACATGGAGAGGAGGGCACATGCAGACACCTAGGTTGCCTGCATGTGGAAAATCCACATACAGGCACAGTGGGGCGGCAGACTCCTTGGCGCCCAGCCGAGGAGAGATGTGAGGATTCGCTGCAGGAGGCAGCTCCCTGGTGCCCAGCACACCACTTTATGTGGGCTATGTGCAGGCACAGGGACATGCAATGGTAGAGGGGGTGCAGGAATCCGGAGAGGGGAAAGAGAGGGAGGGGGGATCATGACAGTGTTACAAATCCCACAACAGTAAACAGTCTGTATATGCAATAAAGCATTCTTGTTATACTCATTGTGGATCATAAAGGGTTAATCTTCTGCATTGTATAAAAACTCTGTTTAATCCTGACTTCTCTGATCCTCCTCTTCTTCCAGTGCCCTCCTTTTATCTCCTGATAAGACATATCGTGTGGAGACACTCTGTACATGCTCAGTTTGGTGTGTATTGCTAGAGAGATTGGGAGAGTGCATGTGATCAGCACAGGGCCAATCATCACTGTCCAGATAGAGATCAGGGGTTCTGCATCCTCCTAGTGCAGAAAGAAAACTTTAACCAGCTTTAACATGTGCTCTGTAGAACACTGATAGAAGTCACGAGATTGCTCTAACTGCTGATGAGAAAAGGTATTTAGCAGTTTATATTTATTAAAATAATTGCATTTCCATGTTGTGTGGGCTGTAGGAGACCAGGGAGTGAATGCAGAATCCTGGGTTTAGTGACACTTTTAAAATCTTAAAATCTTAATATCAAAGGAAAACAAAACGGTTGCTGTAACGTCTTGTGTAACTGCAATTTGGCTTCTAAATCTGCTAGAAATGACACAGATAGTGTTCTGGATTGAGACAAACACACTATAGAGCGATATGTTTTTTCATATTTCATATCAGAGATTTACAACCACTTTAAAGGTAACCTCTTCTTTACCATTAGTTATCCCCTTTATTGGGTTTGCCTAGCTTTTCCAATTTTTACAATTTAGGAAACATTTTGATGAAAAATTTGGAGGTTTTCAATAAACATTTTATCTGTTTATTGAATTCACTATTTTTCATGCAGTTTAATTTTATATTGTAACATCTTAAAAAGGACTGATCTAAGGCACAAGCATTGTCAAATATGTGACAGATCTGTAAAGGATTATAGGATTACAGCATCAGGGGCGGACTGACCATTTGGAAACTTGGGCACTGCCCGAGGGCCCGGGGTCAGTAGGGGGCCCCATGAGATGCCCCTGGTACCATTTTTCATAGGCTTTCTTGAGTTTGGGCAAGGACACAGGGGCCCCATGATCCCCTATTGCCCGGGGGCCCCATGAGTTGTCAGTCCGCCCCTCTACAGCATTTTATATAAAGCAAGGTAGAATGCAGAATTGCCTGTATGAATTTGGACAGTAATTTATAGATTGGTAGACGTAATAGTAAACAGCAGGAATAGAAGTGACAAATTGGTATCATATTGACATGGAACAATAGCATATGTTCTGTACACATTTTTTAAGTTTGTATTTATGAGGTTTATATGCAGTATATATATATGGAGGATGCCACAACATGCACTTTATGAGCTTGTAAAGTGCAGGCACAGATTGGAGGAAACACCAAAATGTCCAGCAGAGAATGGCCAGTGATAGCCCAATAAATTTACTAGTATACCCTTTGTTGACCTCATTTAATTTTCACCTGAAAGTGACCAATCTTTTCCAATCAATTTAATGCTGACTACATTACAAGATTCTTTAGATATATCAACGTTTACATGTTATCTTGCCTGCTATGATGCAGTTTGAATAGACTGTTTAGGTAGGACCTTAAAGTACATAGCTTACGTCATCTCAAGGAGATAGTACAGGGATAATAATGCTGTAATAGAAATGGAAACTTTAAAAAGGATGTACATTTTTATATATATATTTTTACAAGTTTGCAAAACATAAATTGCAGCACAGTGGCTAAATGGTTAGCACTTCAGCCTGGCAGTACTAGGGTCATTGGTTTGAATCCCAACCACGGCACCACCTGCCTGGAGTTTGCATGTTCTCCCTGTGCCTGCGTGGGTTTCCTCCGGGTACTCTGGTTTCCTCCCACCCTCCAAAGACATGCTGGTAGGTGAATTGGATCCTGTCTAAATTGGCCCTAGTATGTGTATGTATGAATGTGAGTTAGGGACCTTAAATTATATGCCCCTGGAGGGTTAGGGACTGATGTGAATGTACAATATATATGTAAAGTGCTGCGTAAATTGACTGTGCTATATAAGTACCTGAAATACCTGAAATAAATATACAGAATGCACAGGGATGGTATGAAATGTTGCATGTGAAGGATAAACCTTATTTCTGAAACTACAAAATGGTGGCTACCATAAAGGTAGTAGGAGCCAGAAAAAAATAAAAAAAAAAAAACAGTAGAACCCTATTAGGCAAAGAGCCTATAGTAACTTTTCAGTGTTGAAGGAAAGAAGTAAGCAGAGAACAAGAAGGATCAAAGATAGTGGGGGGGGGGGGAAAAGAGAAGTAGAGAAAGAGCGAGAAGGAAAAATAAATCAAGGAAAAAATTAAAAGGGGGGGGTAAACTTTTTTTTTTAGCTTTGGAGAGAGTAAAGAATGGTTAGAAGCCCAAAAAAGGGGGGAAAATGTCAGTGCGTCTTATGGAGCGAATATGGAGCGGCCGGTCCGGTATTTCCACCGCCGCCATGTCAGAATACCGAGCCGGCCACTCGGCTCTGCAGTGGACCTTAGCTGTTCCTCTATCCAGCGGCGCGCTGTCTTCCCGGCTTCTGTAGTGTGCGTGACAGCCGGGTGCCAAGTGCGCATGCGCACGAAGCGGTGCTCTTTGTGAATGGTAAGGCGGTACCTGGGACACATGACAGATCCCAGAAGCCGCCGGACCAATCACAAATCGCAGCGCTTCTCGCTCATGCGCACTGGGCATCCGGCTGTCCGCCGAGCGCCCACACTACAGAAGCTGGGAAGACAGCGCACGGCTGGATAGAGGAACAGGTAAGATCAAAGAACAACTCCGCGGAAGTGGGAGTGGGTACCTGTCAAATTCAGGTACCCGCTCCCCCCCCTCCCCAAAGGTCAGCAGTCATCTGCTGTACTGTCCGCAGTCTCTGGTCATCTCCTGTACTATGTCCGCAGTCTCTGGTCATCTCCTGTACTATGTCCGCAGTCTCTGGTCATCTCCTGTACTGTGTCTGCAGTCTCTGGTCATCTCCTGTACTATGTCCACAGTCTCTGGTCATCTCCTGTACTGTGTCCGTGGTCTCTGGTCATTCCCTGTACTATGTCCGCAGTCTCTGGTCATCTCCTGTTCTGTGTCCGCGGTCACTGGTCATTCCCTGTACTATGTCCGCAGTCTCTGGTCATCTCCTGTACTATGTCTGCAGTCTCTGGTCATTCCCTGTACTATATGTCTGCATGTCATTCCTGCATGTCAGTCAGTCTCTGGTCATTCTCCTGTACTATGTCCGCAGTCTCTGGTCATCTCCTGTACTGTACTGTGTCTGCAGTCTCTGGTACTATGTCAGTCTCTGGTCATCTCCTGTACTATGTCTGCAGTCCATTAGTTCAGAATTTTTTTTTCCTGTTTTCTGCCTCTAAAACATAGGTGCGTCTTATGGTCAGGTGCGTCTTATGGAGCGAAAAATACGGTATTTACTAGAAGTGAAAAATATTCCAATAGAGAAACATGTTCCAGTATATCTCCCCAATGGAATCTGCAGAGAATACAAAAAAAACTACCATTGTCCAATAACAAAAAACTCTTGGCTTTAGACATAATTCAGGAAAACAGCAGGGTGAATTTGTTTTACTGATTTATTATAGCCATTAAAGGAGATTGTGTTTTGGGGGAAACAAAAAAAGGAGGAACACAAGGTAAATAAACATTGTACATTATCTCACATTAGGCCTCATACACACAGACATTGGCTGGCATTTTATATGCCTGGCCAAAATTCCCAGTGCTTTCCTGTGCCTGGGGAACCACAGCTGGTATGTACAGCCTTCCATACCCGTGAATACTAAGGTTTCTGTGCATTGATATTTGCTCATGCTTCACATTTGGAAAACACCTTGTACATTTCCTCTCTGGTAGAATGTTTACACAAATATGGTCACGTACAGTCTTGTAAGGCAGGCCACATACAGCCTTCTGTGACTAGCTGTATTTACCACTGTGACTCCCTGGTCACAGAAAGTGATGGGAATTTTGCACTAGTTATATAAAATATCTGTAAGTGTCCATGTGCATGAGGTCTAAATGTAAAATATGAACAATATTTAAAGAACAGATATTTACATTATAATGTGCAATATGTACTGTATATCTTACAATGTATTAAGTGATGTGTTAATAAGGTCACAATATTTCACAACAAAAACACAAAACAAAAATAAGCAATGTTCTAGAAAACTGCAAAAATAGCACTAAACTGCAGCGAAACACAATTCATATAGTGCACAACAAAAAGGAAACAGTTCATAAATGAAATGCTCTGTGCCAAAAGTAACATGAATAATTGCACCATGTAATAACTAAATGCATTTCTTCTGTTGACACACATGTTCAACCACCATCTCTGTTGAAACATACTCTAAATGAACCTGGCAAACTCTCAGACCTACAATGATCAGTAGGTCTTACTATGATTAAGGGCAGAACAGTAACTAAATGGTTAGCACTTCCACCGAGCAGCACTAGGGTCATAGGTTAAATCCCAATCATGTCACTACATGCAAGGAGTTTTCATGTTCTCCCTGTTCCTGCATGAGTTTCCTCCTACACCTTAAAGACATGGTGGTTAGTTAATTGTTTCCTGTCTTTTAAATTGGCCTTAGTGTATGTATGAATGGGAATTAGGGACCTTAGATTGTAAGCTCTGTAAGGGCAGAGACTGATGTGAATGTACAATATATACAGTATGAAAAGTTCTGCAGATGTTGACAGTGCTACACAAATACCTATAATAAATATCAAAATATGTGTGTTAAAGGCATTAGAAACCTTCCTACCTCCACCCTGTAATAAAAAGGACCAGTAGTGGTCAACATTAAGTGCAGTAAAAGACTCACGTTAATTGGAAATGGAGGAGGTGTGCCTACATATTTCGAGTCCGCCCTGCCGCTTTCGCAAGCCTTGACATGGATTTAATGAACTCCTTGCTGAGCATCCATGTTAGAGGAGTTGCTATTTGACAGCTTGCATCACAATATAGTATATTTATCTACCTGCATCTTTTTTTTTTTTTTCACCAACATAAGATGTACACTGCTCATGTAGTTTCATGGTTGACCTGTAAGGATAGTCTATAGTAGAGTAAGGCAGCCCATAGATGGATTGTTTTTTTCCATTCAACCAGTAGCTTGAATGAAAAACCTGACCCTATACCCCCATCCACCTAAAATGCTCCCCATTAATCTATTGTTTTTTTAAAGCATGGAGACTTCCCCGCCATCAGAATACACTGATCAGCATTGCAGGTTGTAACCTGCAGAGCTGGTCAAGTGGGGAAAATTTGGCATTGAGGTTTTACAGAAGATGAGCAATAGATTGACTTCTATAGAACTTCCCTCAGGTCCACCTGCCCTTGGTCTATCCATTAAATACATGATCCTCTACTATGGGGGCTCTCAAAATTTGTAGATTTAGGAGCTACAGAATATTGGGGTGCCGTGACGAGGCTCTGTAGCTTATGTATATATTTACAAATGTGTCCTAACTAAACGCATACTGTTAGACAGGTTAATTCAGTTTGTTTGCAGGCTGCTTGGCAAGTTGTGCAGGGAATTTTTCTTTTTTGTTGTTTGATATGTATCGCCCTTCCATGTGCTCCTTGCTGTGAAGGACAGTTATAGACTGGGGTAGTGGCCCTTTTTTGTACTGTTGAATTGTTGGTGAGGGTGTGCACTGGACACCTTAGCTGCCATTGTGCTACATGATGGGTGTCCAGTGTTTTCCTGTACCTTTAAGGAGGGGTGGGCTCCCTCAGGTCCTGCCCTTAGTCTATCCATTAAATACATGTGCCTCTACTATGGGTGCTCTCAAAACTTGTAGAGTTAGGAAATACAAAATATTGGGGTGCCGTGACGAGGCTTTGTAGCTTACGCATGTATTTGCAAGTGTGTGCTAACTAAACCTCTGTTTTTAATGCATTTTGTTAGACAGATTAAGACAGATTAGTTTGTTTGCAGGCTGGTTGGCAAGTTAAGCTGGGGATTTTTCTCTTTTGTTGTTTGACTGCTATAGAACCTCCCTGGCCATACTGTAATCCATGTACAGGGGTGGGCTCCCCAGGATACAGTGAAGTCACGAACGAGGAAAGGAACCCCAACACCAGCTTTTTCCACAACAGAATTTTACTTAGATGTGGCAAATAAACACAACCACAAATGATGGAAACATACAATAAATTTACATACACCCAGCCCAAAGGCTGAGACCCTTGTGCTGCACAGCATGGCGCCTTCTGATGGATGAAGGTAGAAAGTGAAGTAATTTGCCTACTGGCGGGCACAAATAAGCTGCCACACCTTACCTCTTATTACCCTAACAGAGCAGGAATCAGTGTATGGGTGTATGGTATGGGCTAGCCTGAGGTGCAGCACAACAGCTTACAATCTTACACAAATCTACAGTATTCCCCTCCCATGACTGGTCCTGTAGCACATGCCTGAGTATTCTTTCTGAGCAAAACGCCAGTCTGGCTTGAGTTTGTAGGATTTTATCAGCTCTCCAATGTGAAATGTCACTTTAAGTGGTGGAGTCCTTCCAATAATTATTATTATTATACTAATAATTATTGGAAGGACTCCACCACTTAAAGTGACAACACTTGCAGCCTGACACAAACAGAGACCCTAACTAATTAACTATCGGCCTGGACTCAGTCTCAAGGCACCAACACTGAAATGAGGTGTGTGCACGATCTTACCGACCCGGGTCTGCTTTGCATCCGCTGGTGACTCTGAACAGCTTAGTTCCTCTGATCTCATCAGCCTTCCTGGCAGCAATCTCATCAGCTTCCTGGCAGCAATCACTGGTTATTGAGGGACGCTTTCACACCTGGATTTCATCGGATTCTCAGCTCACACGGCCCCTTCATTCAGCATTGTCCAAAACATGGCTGCAGTCTCCTCTTCCTGTTCACTAAAACTCCAAATCTGTGTGAAAACCCCACCTCTTCATGAATACGTATTTGAGCCCCATCTCGATCCAGCAATGTGCACGAAAGCAGCGACTCTCCCAGGTCTCTCTCTCCTCATCAGCTCACACAGCAGCGGGAGTCATTGGCTCCTTCTGTTGTCAATCACAGCCAGTAAGCCAATGAGAAGAGAGTGTGGGTAGGGCTGAGCTGTGCTCTGTGTGTGAATGGACATACAGAGTGTGGCTTGGAGTGAGCCTACTCGAGTGCCCCCTTAGCGAGAGACTTGCTTTTAGGGGCACTTATCAGGGGGGAGGGGCCAGGACAGCCGGCAGGGAAACCAAAAAAAAGAAAACAATCAGGGATGCTCTACGCAAAACCATTGCACAGAGCAGGTAAGTATAACATGATTTTTTATTTTGTTTTTCTTTAGAAAAAAACTTCAATAAAAATTTGCTATGTTAGCCACTTGCCCTCTGAAAGGTTTACCTCCTTAATGACCAGGCCATTTTTTTGCTATTCGGTAATGCAATACTCTTCCCAAACAAAATGTATGGCCTTTTTTTCACACAAATAGTGCTTTCTTTTGGTGTTTTTTGATTACCAATGGGTTTTTTATTTTTTTTTGATATAAATGAAAAAAAACCAAAAAATTTTGAAAAAAAAAAAAATTTTTACTTTGAGTTATAAAAAATATATGGTAAACCAATTAGTCATATATTTATTAGTCATAAATTTAGGCCAAAATGTATTCTGCTACATGTCTTTGGTAAAAAAAAAAGTCCCAATACGTGGTCTTCCCAGGGATGTCCTCCTAAAGCACATCTTCCCCCAGTGCCCCCAGCAGCATGGACGCGGCAATCTCCATGATCATGTGATGAGGTAAAAGGCCAATCACAGAGGTCTTTTACCACATGATCAGCTGTGTCCAATGAAACAGCAGATTATGGAGTAAATACAGTTGCCGGTTATCGTGTCCTCACGCTGTCACAGTATGAGGAAAGTACTGTCGATAACTGTCGATAACTGGCAGCTGTCACAGAGCAGATCGGCACTGATCATCAGGGTACTGATGATCAGTGCCCTGATGATCAGTGTCCTGCAGTGCCGCCCATCAGTGCTCAGCAGTGTCTCCCACCAGTGCCCACCAGTGCTCAGCTGCCCCATCAGTGCCTAGCAGTGCCACCAGTCAGTGCCCCCCAGCAATGCCATCCATCAGTGCTGCCCAGCAGTTGCGCCCATCATTGTTCAATAATGCTGCCCATCAGTACCACCCATCAGTGCCCAGAAGTGTCGCCAGTCAGTGCCATCAGTCATTGCTGCCAGTCAGTGCCATCAGTCAGCGCTGCCCGTCAGTGTCACCCATCAGTGCTGCCTATCGGTGCCCATTAGTGCTGCCTATCAGTGCCCATAATGGGTGCATATCAGTGCAGCAGCATCAGTGCCTTCTCATCAATG